TTAATACAATCAAAATAAATAATACTTGTGAAGAGGTCATCATCATTAATGAATTATTGTTAAAAAAAAAGAAGAAAAACTAATAAACAAACTAATAAAATACGTATTACTAAATGATAGTGATAAGTGATATTTTCAAGTTTTTAAAATGTTTTGAAATGTATTATAGACAAGGGAGCAAGGTCGTTACAATGGTGTCTAGGAAAGGGAAGGAAATTTATATATAACAAAAAAAACAACAAGATTATAAGAAAATGTGGCGTAGATAATAATGTTTGAACTATTTAATCTGTCGAGATACATATTAAAAAAAAAAAAAATTTAGAAGATCTGCTGGAATATTTTTTTTTAAACAATATTAATGTTTGCACAGTTTTAATGAATAATTAATTAAAAATTAACATTAATGCTAAGAAATCGCTACTTAAATTCTCTGAATTTGTTGGTACACGTCACAGGACATAGAGGACAATTTTTAACTTTAATAATTATTTCTTCGAATATCTGAACTATCTGAACTAAAGTACTTTGTAAATAATAAAGTTTAAAATGGACTAAAAAATTTTTTGATTGGTATTCTCCAATATTTTCTTCGTAAATGCTCTTCAGTGCTTCATTGACGAAAAGTGAGTATTTTAAAAAATATTTGCATTCGCGATGGTTCAAGGTCATAGAGGTTAGGTAACTTAGTTAAGTTTTTTTTTTTTTAATATAAATGCTTAGATTAGGTAAAGCTTAGTTAGTTTTTTAATTTCGTCATTTTATGTATTTTAAAAAATATTTGCATTCGCGATGGTTCAAGGCCGTAAAGATTAGCTTGGTTAAGTTTTTTAATTTTTTAAAATTTTTTTTTTATTATAAATCCTTAGATTGGGTAAAGCTTAGTTAGGTTTTTAATTTCTTCATTTTATATGATTATTACGATAAGTTAGCCTTTTAAATCATACAAAAATATTGTGGGTCTTGATACTTGAATTTTTATAATATTTATATATTTTGTTCTATTACTGACATCTTGGCAATACTCAGAATCTTACAACTTTTGATTCAATTTCTGTCTGAAAATAATCTTCAAATTTTGTTTTCGAAATTTACTTTATTTGCTTTATTTTTTAGGACTTGAACGGTTTTTCAAAATTTCAACGTGCCTAACTTAAGTGTTTTACGTTTCATAATATGATATTATTAATGAAAAATTATCTAGGGTTAAATGGAATTATAGATTAAGGATTAATATAAGGATATTTATGAAAAATTAATGAGAGTTTTAAACAAAAATTTAGAGTTTGGTGGAATGACACAGTGCACACTGCAACTAAAGATAGAACAAATTAAAGAATTATATAAACGAAAACGTAATAAGACTGTTAATAGAAATGAAAAGAAAAAATATTATGACTCTCACTTATGGAAAATAAAAATAATTCTATTAAATTGTGGAATATTTAATGAAGGAACTGTTACCTGAAAAATATAAACAAAATTACTTTGTGGAAATTGAAATTAGTGCAAATTTAATTATAAACGATATTATTGAAATGCCAGATGCACTTAACATATATTATATTGATAGTATAATAATTGACTTAGTATCTAATGATTTTTCCATTATTGTTAAAAATGATAATGTAAGTCTTAAAAAGTTTAATCTTGTTAGTTTTGATGGTATAAAAGAAATTGTTTCTGATATGTCGAACCTAGGAAGTCCAGATGAAATTAATGTACTGTTTTTAAAAAACCGTTTCGAAAATATTACTAATTTAATCATTTTTGAAACGCTTTCCAAAATATTATTTCGCTTGTCATGATTGCTCGGTCAACAAGTCAGGTAACTATTTATATTTATGCCATGAACAGGAAGGAGAACATATTTTGAAGATTTAATTGAAGAAATACGATTTGTATTACATATTTACAAAAATGTTTTTAGTGTTGTTATTAAATTGTTTTTGTTCAATTCAATTAAGAATAATAAAAGTAAGTTTTCTTGTAATTTATTTCATACAGTTGTCTGTGAAGATAGGTTTACTTTCGAGAAACCAAAATTTTTATTATAGATCCAAATTTAAAAGTTTTTGTACCAAAATCCTCATTCAATTTTTAACAACTTTTAAAAATGTCAGTTCGTCTATCCGTCCGAAGTCACGTTTTTTCTCTGCACGAGAAGTCAAAAACGAAAAGAGATAGCAACTTGAAATATTTAGAAAAAATCAAGCTCTAAATGGGACGAAGCCTAATTATTAAAAAAAAAGGGTGGTTAAGGGGTTTAAATATTAAAAAAATCAACGCAAAAACGAAAAATTACATCAACTTGAATTTGTTATCAAAAATCAAGTTTTATAAGGGGACAAAGCTTATTGAGGGGGGATGAAACTAAAAAAAAAACATCAAAAATTGAAAGCGATATCAACATGAAATTTTTAGTAAATAATCAAGCTCTATAAGCCTAGATTCTGAAAAAAAAAAAAAAAAAAAAAAAATTGATGAGTTTGGGGGGGGGGGGGGGGAAGGTTGAAATATTAAAAAAAAATCACAAACAAAAAAGGATATTGACTTAAAATCTTCAAGGAAAATCAAGCTCTATAAAGGGATGAATGAAGCCTATTGATCTTGAGAAAATCCAATTAAAAATGGGGAGTTAAAGGAAATTTAAATAAAAAATATCATAAATCTAAAACAAAAACGATATAAACTTGAAATTTTTAGGAAAATCTAGCTCTATAAGGGAACGAAGCCTGTGAATAAAAATGGGGGTTAAGGGGGTTGAAATAAAAAAAAAAAATCAATCAAAAACGAAAAGCGATATCAACGTGAAATTTTTAGTAAAAATCAAGCTCTATAAAAAGATGAAGTCTATTGATTCTGAAAAAATCTGAATAAAAATAAGGGGGGGGGGAAGTTAAAATGGACTTAAATATATAAATCAAAATTCAGAAACGAAAAATTATATCAACTTGAAGCTTACAGCAAAAATCAAGCTCTATAAGGGAATGACGCTTATTGATTTTGAAAAAAAAAATCAGTATAAAAATGGGGGTTGAGGGGGGTGAAATTAAAAAAAAAAACTTTAAAAATTGAAAGCGATATCAACATGAAATTTTTAGTAAATAATTAAGCTCTATAAGCCTAGATTAAAAAAAAATTTTTTGGCCGGAATTTTTTCATTTAATTTAATTATTTAAAATTAATTCTGATGCCTTGGTAGGATTCGCCACTCGACCATTCATTGTTGGGTTCTAATTAACAGAGCTGTTCCTAAAGTGGCGCTGGGAAACAGTAACAAAGTCTACACCGAACACGAGGCGAAATAACCTTAGCAGTTGAAGCCGATGACACACAAAAAAAAATTGATGGGTTTTTGGGGCGAGGGAAGAGAAGGTTGAAATATTAAAAAAAATCACAAACAAAAAAGGATATCGACTTTACTTCTTTAAGGAAAATCAAGTTCTATAAAGGGGTCAATGAAGCCTATTGATCTTGAGAAAATCTAATTAAAAATGGAGAGTTAAGGGAAATTTAAATAAAATCATAAATTAAGAAACGAAAAATGGTACCAATTTAAAGCATTTAGCAAAATCAAGCTCTATAAGGCGACGAAGTCTATTGATTTTGAAAAATCTATGAGGGGTTAAGGGGACGTTGAAATTAAGAAAAATCAGAAATCAAAAATTAAAAGCAATATCAACATAATTTTTTTATTAAAAATCAAGCTCTATAAGGGGATGAAGCCTACTGATTTTTAAAAAAAATAAATGAGTTAAAATGGGTGGGTTAAGGGGGGTTAAAATATTAAAAAAAAACCTAACTTAGAAAACGATATCAACTTTAAATCTTCAAGAAAAACCTAATCTATTGATTAAATCTGGTTAAAAATTGGTGTTAAGGGGGTCTGTTAAACTATTAAGAGTAGAATGTAGAATCACAAGCATTATACAGGGCGTTTCAGAATAAAGTATTGTAAACTAAATTATATTATAAATTATATTATAAACTAAATATAATATTTCTGTAAACGCCCCAGTTTTCATCCTATAGGGTGATAAAGTGAATGTTTACAGGAAAATTATATTTCTTTTCTTAATAATTAGTTAAGATTTACAAGGTTTACGATACTTTATTCGAAAACACCGTATATTTTACTTCTAATATTATTTGTGTTTATTGAGTTTTATAAATAATAAAATACAAATAAACATTTTTCTATGATCATTATCCAAAGTAGGCTTTTGCACATTCAAATCTAATTTGATAGTTAACGTTTTCCGCGAATTGTCATAATTTTGACATTATTGGCGCCAAAGTAACTGGTCGATTTTCATTTAAATTAAATAAAAGAAAGCTAATCGGTATTTTAAAACAAAATGTAGGCTAATCTAAAATATTTTCATTGATTTCCTAATATTTTAAATCATCCAACAGTATTTTCCGTAAATAATTAAATGAATAAGTCATAAATAATTACCGACATATAATTACTGAAACATTTTTTGCTCTTCGAAGAGCAGGCAGGCTTATGTCAAATAAATGTAACGAAAAAAGGTAACCCATTTCTAATAAAATTAAATATTTGTTTATTTTGGTGTGATCATAGAAAAAATCTTGTGTGTAATTCGAGCAGAAAGTCTTTTGGCAGTTTCGACAAATTGCCAAAGTGCTACCTTCTGCTCTTAAATAGCTAGCTGACTTTATTTCAATAAACTCAATATTAGTGCTTTCCTTTTGGAAGTAAGATGTCTTTTCTATTGAGAAAAGTGAGAGATGACGATAATAACAGTGTAAATAAAAATTAATCAATGGCATTTATTTAAAAAATTGGTTCCGTCAAATTGTGCTCATTTTTGAATGAATAAAAAGTTTGGTTTTTGGTTAATATCTTTTGAAGATTTAGTACAAAATTTTTATTTTCCAATTTTAGCTAAAAAAATTTAATAGCACCTGTTGTAATTTTTATTCACACAATTCGTTCGATAATCTTAATATTTGATGCTAAAGACACTAACCTACAGATATTACAGGTTTTTTGTTGACATTGTTGTTGTTATAAGTTTCCTTCTTCGATCGTTTTTCTTCATTAAACAGTTTGTTCATAATTCGTGCCGAACACAAATTGTTATTATCGCACTCGCACAATTTCAAACTGGTCTCCGGCGATTTCGAATACATTTATTAAAACCTCCTTTATACCGGCTATCTCCCTTTACAGAGATTATAATTTATTATTTTTAACACTGACTTCGCGTACGTATTTTTTCCTTTTTTTTGTTGTTATTTTCTTCGATTAATCGGTCTTTAGTTCGAAGCTTACTGGATATGGTAAAAACAAAGCATCGTTCAATTGTTTTTCTTTGACTTCTTATCGTTATCTGGTGACCGAGAGGTTTTAAGTGTTAGGTGGGGGCTACAGGGTTCAACAGAATTGTGGAAAATTTATGTTTTTATTATAACGTTGGTGCTTTTGTTATTCGATGTTTTGTAATAGGTAAGTGCATGGCTGTTGGGGAGTCGTTACATAAATTACCTATTTTGAACAATTTTAAATAATTAACATGAATCTGAGAGACTCGGGCATAAATTAGCACCGCTATAAATTTTGTTTGAATCCACCCATACCTTCGTTAATTTAGGAATGCGTTTTCAATATAAAGGGCGTTTTTTGAAGGGTGACAGAACGTTAAACTTTAAAAAAATATTAAAGAAACTATTTTCTGATTAAAAAAGTATTATTATTTAAAAAAAATCTATTCAGTCATTCTAATCAACTTTTTAGTAGAGCGGACTGAATGTTATTTGGACACTTTTGTGTTCCATATTTACATATATCAATTTTATTTCGACAAGAAATACAGTTATTCCCAATTATTGTTACAATATGTATTGTTTACTAATAATCTATTTTTTTTGTGTGTCATCGGCTATAACTGCTAAGGTTATTTCGCCTCGTGTTCTGTGTAGGCTTTGTTACTGTTCCCCAGCACCACTTTAGGAACAACACTGTTAATTAGAACCCAACAGTGAATGAATGGTCGAGTAAGAAATCCTACCAAGGCATCAGAATTAATTTTAATTAAATAAATTAATTAAAAAAATCCCGGCCAACGCAACGGTGGGGTTCGAACCTGGGACCCTTGGATCCACAGGCAGAGACTCTACCATTGAGCCACCCACTCCCTCAATAATCTAACTATTAAAACTTTTTTTAATATACATGACTTGTTAGTTTTGGTAACATATTTTTATGTTCTGATAACAATTTTTCTATGATATTGTGTCATATATCTCCACCATGCCTCTATAAATAGTACCACATAGTTCAGTTTACATCCCAGGTACTGATATTGGTAAATATTTAATTAAGTCTTTATGCTATAGGTACATACCTAACATAGATACAACTATTTAGTTTCTTGAATTAATTTTTTTTATATCGTCTTTTAAAAAAACTGTTATGTAAGTTTAGCTTTCATTATATTCCACTATATTTGGCTATCTCTTGACATGTAGGTCAGACTCCATTTTTAAACCATTCTCGGACAACCTTCAAATCATTGTCTTTCTTTTGAGTCTTTCTTAGGCTTGCTAGGGTGATTCGGTCTTCGTAATCCTCTGACTTGATATTGATCGCCTCAAGACTAACTTCTTCAACCATCTCATCTCGTCCTTCAAGCCTTTTACAGTACCGACATTGTCGTTCTAAACAGTGTCGCCTGGAAAGAATGTCTGCGTTGCTATGGAGACGATGCACTATCTTGAAGTTATATTGTTGCAGTCTTTTTATCCATCTAGAAACTTGTCCTTGAAGTTTTTTAAAATTCATCAGCCACTGCAAGGCGCTAAGGTCACTTCTAATGATAATACTTCTGTTAAAAAGGTAAGTACTGAAGTATTTAAGGGCTTTGACAATAGCTAAAAGTGATGAGATGCGTCGCAGTCTAAAATGAATTGTCCTTTTTCCCGAAGGCATTTTAACATTAGCACCACTTTTGATGGATCTAATTAATAAAATGTTTGATAAAGGTGAGTTCCCAGCCGAATTAAAAAAATCTTTAGTAGTACCAGTCTTTAAAAAAGGAAAAAAGAGTATGTTTACAAACTACAGACCTATTAGTTTAATAACAACTTTTACAAAAATAGCAGAAAAAGCCTTAAATTTACGTTTAAAAGATTACCTCAATAAATATAAAATCATCTCAAACAAACAATTCGGGTTTCGAGACGGGCTCTCAACAACAGATGCGATCTGTGAGTTGTTAAAAAAAATTTATAGTTCTGTTGACTGCAAAAAACCATGTCTAGCAGTTTTCCTCGATTTCGCCAAGGCCTTCGACACTGTAGATCATGGACAGTTGTTAGAGACATTGGAAGATATAGGGATACGTGGGAAAAGTTTTGACCTTTTTAATAGTTATCTGAACAATAGATTTCAAAGAGTTAAAATCAATAATGAAATCAGTGACGAGAGGCCAATAGAAAGCGGTGTTCCTCAAGGAACTATATTAGGTCCCACATTATTTACATTATATGTAAACAATTTATATAATTTACAGACCACAGGAGAAATAGTAAGTTTTGCAGACGACACTGCGATTTTTTATGAAGCAGAAACTTGGGACGATCTAAAACGGAAAACTGAAAGAGATTTAAAGAAAATAATAGACTGGTGTTCCCATAAAAAATTAACCATAAATTACAACAAATCTTTTGTTTTACCATTTGTCAGCTACTCTAATAATCTACCTCAATTTAGTAACATTAGCTTAACTTATAATAAAAAGAAAATAACATTGGAAAAAAAAAATGAAATAAAATATTTAGGAGTTACCCTAGATTGTCATTTACGTTGGGACGCACATATAAATAACTTAACAAATACCTTAAGACTTCTTTTATTTAAATTTAAATACCTCAAAAATATTTTACAAGTTACTCACCTAAGAACTATTTATTATGCTTTAGTCCAAAGTCGTGTACAATACACAATCGTCTGTTGGGGTGCTACAACCAAAAATCACATATCCAAACTTGAAATATTACAAAAGAGAATTCTAAAAATAATACACAACAAAAAAGTTAGATACTCAACAGATGCATTGTTCGAGGAAGTAAAAATAATGGATATACGACAATTATACATATACTCAGTTATAATACTAATCTACAAAAATAAACAATTATTAAACAAAATTACCCATAACTATGATACAAGAAGCAAGGATAAAGGAAAAGTTGGTACCCATCTTGTAAATAAAACAATAGCACAACGTTTTTATATTTATTTAAGTGCAAAAATTTTTAATTATCTTCCGGATATGTACAAGGCATATTTACAAATCATAAATTCCGTTGAACTCTTTAAATCTCTCATCAAAAAATTTCTTATTAATTCGGATAGAAAAACGCAAAGAGAAATAATTGATTAAATATACAAGTATTCGAACTTATATATTATAATTTAGTTGTAATTGTATACTTTTTACGTGATATTTTTATTTTGTATTTCTTTATTATTTATATTTCATATGTATTTTGTATTTTAAATGATGCGTTTTTTAGCTAATTTTATATTGTTATTATTCAGTTTATAATTTAATATGTATTATTTAATTAATTTAATTAGATTTTATGAACTTATACATGTCAAGCTATAATAATGTATTAAAAAAAAAAAAATGATTAAAAAAAAAATGATTTCAAAAAAAAAGTTAGTAATTCGGCAGCCCATGCGCAACCACATGGTCATAAATGGGCAGCAAATACTTTTAATGTATAAGGTACCTGTCAATTACTCTAATAATTTAAAATTATTTAAATGTACCTACAAATATGATGTAATCAAAAAAACAAAAATGCTGAATAAAGATTATTATTATTATTATATAATAGACTACTGTTTTCAGTTAGGGCTTTAGCAATTTGACCAAAGTCTTTGACCAATTTTCGGTAATATGAGCACAGTTCAAGAAAACTTCCAATTTCCCTTTTTTCTCTTGGTTTCGGCCAATTTTTGACAGCTGCAATTTTCTCCGGATTAGTTTTGATTCCTTCTGCGGAAACGATGTGTCCTAAATAATAGGCTTCCGACTGGAACAGTGAACATTTATAAAAAATACATATTTAAATCGTAGAAAAGATAAATAAAAAACATACAGGTTTTTAATTTTTTTAGCTAAATTAATTTGGTACCTATCAATATTCATATCCTACACCGTTGCCATGAATTTGTTGTTAATAATTGTATCACTTATGGTTCTATTCTTAGATACTCTTTTAGGCGCTTCTTAAAATTAACTAAATTGTAGGATCTAATTTCTGGCCCAAGTTTGTTATATTCTTTGGAGGCTACATAAGAAAACGATCTTTTAAAAAATGCTGTTTGGTGTTTAGGTATGACTAAGGTGTTTCTGTTGCGTATTTATATTTGAAAACGTCATTAACTTTTTGAATAAATAATCGGGTTTTTGAAGCTTTAATGTCTTATGAACTAATGTTAATAAATAAAGTGTCCCGTAGTTATTTAAAGATAACCACCCTGATTCGATCATTTTGTGTGAAATATGATCAAATTTTCTTATGCCATATGCGAAAAGCAAGCAACAATTCTGAATTTGTTGTAAACGTAGAGAGTCATATCGAAGTAGCGCAGGTCCGTAAATAGAGTCACAATAAAATATCTTTGAAAAAATAAGAGATTCACAAAGTTTTAACTTAGTGTGTGTGGAAAGTAAGTCTCGGCTAGGAAATAGTTGTCTCAAAACAGTAAAACAACTTTGCAACAATGAATTTACGTGCTTTGTAAATTGATGCTCGGAATCAATCCACAGACCTAAATTTTTTGGCTTTATCTGTAATTGATCTACAATTGATTTTATATTTTTCTTTGCACCAAATAGCATTGCTGTAGATTTAGACGGATTTATTTTTAAGTTATGAGCAGAAGATTTATTAAATAATGAATTCAAGTCTTCATTAAGATGAGGACTTGAGTTACCCCAGCGACTCTTTATCAAAAGATCTATAAAGCTGCGTATCGTCAGCATAATGGTGAATCGCACAATTTTGAACAAAGCTTTGGAAGTCAGAAATGTACAAAGCAAATAAGACTGGTCCCAAAATTGAACCCTGTGACACCCCTTGTATTACTGGTAGGAAATTTGATGTTGCTATCCAAAATTACTTTATGAGTGCGATTACTAAGATAATTTGACATGAGGGAGATTACATTTTTGTAAAGCCGAAAAAGTTGAATTTCTTACAGAGTAAGTCATGATCTAGGGTATCAAATGCCTTGCTGTAGTCGAGAAGA